TTGATTTCTTTTATATTTGTTTTTTTTTTTTTGAAATTGTGAAAATTTTCAAAGCAATCGCGCTGCAGAGTCGTTTTAGAGACGAAATATCGAAGCGCGTAAGCGCCAGGTCTTGGTCTTATGTCTAAACATTATAAATTTTGGTAGGAAACCCATAGAACAACAAAATTTGTACTTATTATTAAAATCTCTATAAATTATCTGATAATTTAATGTGCATATTTTTAATAATCAATTTTGACCGTCAAATGTCATTTTTTACTTTTTTCATTGTTTTTCTGAAACCGCGTTACCTGCCTTTCTATTATCAGTTGTTTATTTCGTCAATACAAATAAAATATTTGACTTATTAAAATCAGACGCTACGTTCTCTCAAAAACTGAATTACTGTTTTTGACCCGTATTTTCGAAACGCGACAGGACTCAATAAATAGGCATCAAATGTTTTTTAAATCATTTAAATCGATTGATCCGTAATTCTATATCGTCAACAAAAATTGTATCCGCACGCACACACATTTTTTGCAATTACTAAACTCACCATACTGGAAGTTAAAAATTAACAGTAAAAAAATGATAAGTGTAGCTAAAAATATATAACATTTTTATCATTTCATCTATTTATAATTCCATTTATAATTGCTTATACGTTACTAATTAATGAAATTAACTAATACTATCTAATAGCTCCAATAATCAAAATCGACAATACATAATCTACTAAAAAAATAATATTTATTGTATTCTGAAAAACAAACTGAGTAACATGCTGTATGCTTATTAAAAAATCATGTACAATATATAATGACAATGCCAAGTGGAAATATTCTGGTAAAAAAAAATTTTATAGGTCCATCAGATTTTTGATGAATGAATTATTAACTAATGGAGAAAAGATTAGGCTAGTCCCCAAGGATTCTGTAACAATTTCCAAGGAGTCCCACATCGGCAAAAAGACTGTGGTTGTTCATTATAGTAAATCTCAACATATCATGCTAATATCCATTTACTTATATTATATTATCTATATTTGCAGCTATTTTACATGTCCATGTAGCATAAACAGTTAGAAATTTATAAAAAAATTAATATTGGATAAATAGGGGGTCCATGGCAAAACCCAAGGGGTCCACAACATGTAAAAGTTTGGAAACTCATGGCCTAAAGCATTGATATGACACCTTAATTGCAAATTATTATTCAAAGTATACTTTTCAAAGTTATTGTGATGTTTCTGTAAAAAATAAAAGTATTAAAAATAAATTTACTATCGAACATTTGTACAATTGAAATCGTAAGGTTCTTAAAAATATATCACTTACTGAATTTTAATGCTATATTTATGTACTAAAGTAAAATTCGCAATGTTACTGGCTTACAGATTATTATTCATAATTTAAATCTATATTTAAAAAGATAAATTAATATCATTGATGCTTGAATAAAAAGGATTACGACTAATAACAATAATAGTAATTAGTGTACTTGCATTTCTTATCATAAACACAAAACTCAATCATGATAGTTATATTTTAGAATAAAAATCAATAATATTACCTTATCGAAAATGTACCCCTATTTCCACTACTATTCCGAAGCGATATAATACAGTGTTAGTTTAACTAGCACTAGTTTTATACGGCACTTACGTGAGGTACATCTAAACTGCATATTACATATTTCATTTTAAATCTGAACTGTGTTCTGGAAAATATGGATATTTTAATTGCGAATTCTAGTAGAAAATCATAAAATATATTACAGAGGGAAAAATGAATAGTACTTTGCTGAATCGAGTCATTATTACATTCATTATTTGATTAATAATTACAATTCAGAATGGAGGATATTAAATTGTGAAAATTATATTTAATTATGCAATTTAATTTAAGTTTTTTTATTTTAAAATCGAGCGATGTGCTGGTACACATTAAATATAGTATTTTATAATTTTAAAATTTAAAGCGGTGCATAAAGGTCCGCGGGTATATAAATCCACCACCAATATTTCAAAAACAAGTAATGTTAAGAATATTTCAACAACAATATTTGAAAGTAGAGGGCAAAGGATGTAAATTCAGCAATCACCTTGATTCTGACGACTTTGCTATCGGGAGATAAATGACAATGCTTGAAAATCCATAACAAAAGTATTTACTTTATTTCGTTGTTAGTTTTTTTGGTTGTGATCACTGTTGTTTAGTTTACGAGACCTTAATGTATCTTTTAAGTATACGTTATTTACGTGTTTTATAACAAGTATAGTTAATTTTAAGATCAACAGTTTTTTATATAACCTCTATAAAAGCTTACACGTGGATGGGGTAAAGAGGACCTGCTGAACGTTTGCCCTGGTAATAAATAAATAAGTAAATTAAGTTAAAAACAGCATTATTATAAGAGATGAATTTAATAGTTATTCCAACTCTGCTGATAAATACTTCTGACGAAATACCAGATCAAGGTTATATACAGTTATCTCTGTAAAAAATGTACCCATGAAATTTTTTTTGCATTGGTTAAAAAATGTAGCTATTATTTCGTAAAATGCTTTTGAAAATAAAACATTGGTT